GTATCATGTCACCGTGTCACAACCTAGCCTTCCATCACCCGCACACAACTTAGCTCTCCTGAGAATTACCAATACCCCTACCAAAATTGCATGCCTCCTTAGCCCATCCGATGATGATCGCCGAACGGATTGCCATGCGCATCATACTCCTGCACGCCCTCGTACTCGTCCTCATGCGGCTGGATATACACCTGCGGGGCGCCGGAGGGAGGCGGGTAGATGAGCGGCTGGCTGTCGGCGCTCTGCTCGCTGACGCTGCGGGCGGCGACGCTGGGGCGCTTCTTGTTGGCGGCGGCGTTCTTTGCGTCGCGGGCGATCTGGGCGGCCTCGGCGGCGGCGACGAGGCGCTTCTGGGTGCTGCCCTCGCGGCAGCACTTGTAGAGGATGGCGCCGAGGGTGGCGGTCAGCGCGACGGCGAAGAAGAGGCTGATGACGACGCCCGCGGCGTGGAAGCTGTCGTCCTTGCGCATGCACACCGACGCGCCGTTGCCGTCCTTGTCGCACAGCATCCCCGACGCGCACTTGGTGGTCAAGACCGTCGTCGGGAAGCACGACAGCGTCTTGCCGGCCGCGGTGCCCGTCGACTGCTTCGGGCAGCTCGTCGTACTGACTGTCGACGTCGCCATGCAGGCCACCGTCGAGGTCACCCCGTTCGAGACGATCGTGGCGTGCCCGCCGTCGGTCTGGGTTGCCGCTGCGGCGGTTGTCGTTGCGTCGTCACGGCGGTATAGCGGCTGGCGTTTACGCAGGTCTCCAGCCACGGGGACACTGCACCGCGCCAGAGTCCATAGTGCCTCGATCTGTGCCTCCTCGGGTTGACAGCCCGCGTGGACGAAGCATGTCTTCAAGTCGGTGTCGTGGAAGCCGGTGGGCAGTTCTGAGAGACAGTAGGCGATGCTGCCCCTGTCACCGCATGATGCGCGGTTTGCCAGCTCGGAATGCCGTGTGTGGAGGCATTCGAGATTATTTGATGTCGCCCAGGCCGTTTGCGAGAGGATTGCAAGGGCGGCGAGAAGGGAGAATGAAGAAGCGGAGCGTGTTATGAACCGCATTTTCATGCTATGATTTTCAGGGTCCTTGCCGAGCTAGGGCGGCCGACAGCGGGAGAGCAATGCTACGTAAGGCACAACCCTCGGTTCGCTTTCTTTACAGCGTCGTTAGCAGCAACGAAGGCCAAGCTTTCTGAAGAGATGTATGGGAAAGCTTGAAAAGCCGACGAAGAGGCTTCGAGCAATTAAATGAGAGAAAACGCCAAAAAAACGAGGAGAGAAAGGGGGCCCGGCAGCTGAAGGATCGGGAGCTGCGGATATTTTAAACTACGGCCTAAACAACTCACTAACTAACATTAACATTGCGCTGCTGGCTTAGCTGGCTGCTGGGGCGCCTCCTTCTCGCTTCATGGGCTCCTTCTTCGCGAGACCAGACCGCAAATCTTCGGCGGGAAGGCATAAGAGTGCGTGATTAGCGTCCATGTTAGGCATCCTTTACAGCATGGGCCATAGGCGTCTACCTACCTAGCATCTAGGTACATACATGGCTTGCACGGGCACAGACAGACTCTGGAGCCATCCAGCCAGCGAGCCAGCCCCAGCGTTAGCACGAGGCTGCCTTCAATTTACCTTCGCTCGCTTCACTAGACCGGCGCCGCAAAAGCCTTGGCATGGGTGATCCTGTCTAAGCTGGCCTAGCTGACTCTTGCTCTTTCGTTAGGGGAGGGAGGTGTGTTTTGGCTTCTGTGCCGTCGGGAGACTTCTGAGCGAGATGAGACCGAAAACGGCTTGTTCTGCTGCTTATTTTAGACTCTTCACTTTTCGGGCTGTTGCCGTCTCTCAAACAGAAACGCAGTTTGTTGGAGTGATCTAGGTAATCTACATGAACATGAACTTGCAGTATTCCCTACAAGGTCCGGGGCTGAGCAGAGGCGATCCTTCAAAGGACGTTGTCTTGCTACTTTGACGAAAGGCATGCATGGTTGCACCGGCGAGCCTAATTACAGCTCATCCGAACCGTTGGCTTCCGTCCGGCATCATCACCTTATTTCTTCCCAATGCAACTTGGGGGCATCGTCTTTCAAGAACCAAGATATGCAGAGTTAGCAGATGCAGTCTCTCTCTAGTTTTCCCCTCCTCTCTCTGTCTGAGACTTCTGGAGCGCACTGAGGCTGTCCCGGATGCAAACACCACCGCCAACAGAAGCAAATCAGCAAAAGTTCGGCGGCCTGGATTCGGAGTGGGTCAGAGACTCAATGTCACAGCGATTAAGGGGACCTGTCACTCCCTGATCCTTGGCCCTCTCGCTACTGCGTAAGCCAGTGTGAAATAGGTGTAGCAGCGGGCTGTGGGCTGTGCGAGAGAAGAAAAAAAGCCCCAGCCCAGCCTAAGCCAGTGGCTGCATGGCGTGGGGAAAGCTTGGATCTGACTGGGCGGCCTGTGGCTATGCGGCGTGTTAGTCCTCCTAGTGCCGAACACCTGCAGGAGAGCTGAATCCCGACGCGGTTTGCGCCGTCTGTTGTGTGGTGATCCCCTCTCTTCTCCTTTTGGGTCAATTGTCTCCAACATGCATGACTTGAGGCAGTCTCACGTGTTGGCCTCAAGCATCCTAGAGTGATGTTTCAAGGATCTGCAGTAGCTGCTGCGTGTTCAGCGTTCGGCAAAGGAGCCTACCGCCGCTCTGTCTTAGGTTGGCATTCCCTCTGAGGACATACGGTCAACAGCGGTCCCATGCCGCTGGAAACGCCTCACGCGCTCTGAGAGCAGTGTTGGCGAGTATAGTAATTTGTGGCAAAGAAGACAAAGATACTCGATTTTACTTTGCCAAGAAGAAAAAGGCGGAGTGCTGCCGTAAGCAGGAGATCTTCAAGTCGGGTAAAGTTGTCAAACGTTAAAGAGGACAGCCGTAAGCACAGATTAGATCCCTAGGACAGTAATCATCTAGAATCTGACACGCGCACAAGACACCGATTCCGGTCAATACCAGCCGTGAGAACAGCCAAGCCGGCGCCGGCGGTGCAGGTGTGTGGAGTGAAGCACCCGTTAGAATATTCATCCACGTGCGGGAGGCTGTATGCGGCTGAAGTTTCCGTCCGAGTCGTTTGGAGGCGCCGCTGCGCCACACAGACGTCAATCTTGACATGGCTCTATAGACTCGTATGGACTTGTAAACGCGCTTGACGATCTCCTGTCCGCGGAGAAGATTGCGACCCTATATGGATATAAATGGCACGCTCTATTCTCCTTGCCGGCTTCAAATCTTCCACTTCGGGTGGCATGTCGCGCTCGAATGTTCCCCAGATAGGTCCAAGACGACGGAAACCTTCCGCCCTCCTTCCGACTTCTTGTAAGTCTACCTGTCGGGTGGATCATTCTCTATACGACTTGCCATTTGGAAACAACCCTGCATGGCGCAAACGAGCCAATTAATTGTGTATACTAAGGCCAAACCGACAGGCTAGCCGGAGCTCTTCCGAGATACTTACTTTAAGACCTTGTAGGGCTGACGGACGTATGCATGAAGTCGCTTCCCCAGATTGTACGCTTCCTATCTTGCCCTGCACTAACGGGTGTGCTATCAAACAAGCTGCTTACAGGCGGTCAGTCGTGTCATTGGGTTCTGCAGTAAGCCTGCAGACCTGCAGACCTGCAGAGAATGAAACCCCTCCTTAATTGAAGATATTATCAGTGGTTTCGATTTTTGCTCATCTCCCATGATCAATAATCAGATTATTGCTTTACACTAAGTCTACAGTATCTATCGTACTTGCACAATCTTGACTTCCATCTCCAATTGCACCGTTTGTCTCTTGTGAAACTTCTGATCTAAGATGTCATAGCTTCATAAGAAGACATTTTCAATTGATTAGAATCTTGGGGTTATAGTTTTAGATGGTATTGGGATGTAGAATAGGGTATCCGGCACTGTTTGAAGTTTAACCTCTTTGCACCTCACTCCGTATTGCAACTCCAAGATCTTGAGCCTTCGTGAACGGCGACCGTCCAGTCATAGCCAACACCGTCGACATGATTGCACTTTCGCTGAATGCACTTGCCGGCTTGTTACCTTTGTAGCCCTCCAAGTCAGCCAACATGTTCATAATAGCACAACGCTCAACTGGTCCCGCCGACTCATAAGCGCATTTGAGAGGAAACACGAGAGCCGTGCTGCCCAATGTTCTGTATCGGATAATGTAGGGGTATGTCAGCCATATCCGACGACTCATCTCCTCGTTGAGAATGTCCATGGTCGGGTCATGCAGACCCAGGAACCGCATCGCATGCTCCATGATCCTATTGATCACGATACGGGACATGCTGATATAAGCGAAACACCACGCGGTCGGCAGGTCCGAGAATTCGTAACGGGCGAGGAACGGTGAGTCCGGGTCGATAAACTCGACGATCTCCCCGCGGTCGTAGCACTCATTGGTCCGCGCCTCGTCCATGATCTGCAGATCTGCGGCCAGCGCCACCGTACGCCCTACGATATCGTGCGCGAGCATCTCGGCCTCTGGGTTGAAAGGGTCCGCGTATAGACGCCGCAGCTGGTTGTTGAGCGTTGGCCAGCTCGCCAGCTTGACGCACAGCCGGAAGCAGGTCGCCGCGAAGTCGAGCTCGACCGCGCCGGCGTCCAGCGCGGTGTTGATGGCGTCGGCCCAGGGCTCGGTCCCGTAAAAACAGTCTTGCTCGCTGACCATGCAGTAGTTCATCTGCGCCGCAAGGGTGCATTGTTAGCCTCGGGTTTTGTAGCCTTCTGGAACGACGACTAGAATTATACGGAGACAAAGGGGGGCTTACCACTGCACCGTAATTATCGAGTGCTAGCTGAATGTCAAGCTCGTCGTTAAGCGTGGGGGGGCCCATTTGAGTCATAATGCTGACAATGCCCCGAACATGGGTCATGCTGTTCGTGCCTCGAGATAAGTCGTAGAAGACCTAGAGATATCTAATTAGCACTTGAAGTTTGGAATCCATCAAGTCGTCCCTAACGTTCTGTGTTTTATGATGATAAAATCGTACCTCGACCCTATGCAGGATTGATGTCGCTGCTAGAGTCGCCGTGCAGAATCGCTGCTCCGGGTCGGACAGCGCAGTCTGTAGGCTTCTCAAAGCTTTGCCGTAACCCTTGAGATCCAACATCTCCTCTGGTGGCAGGCCACGACGAAGGTTAGTCCATGTCGACAAGAGGCAATCAACGGCGTTTGTAAGTGCACGGCTAGTGCTGAGTCGTGGACTCATGAGACCCAAAGCGTAGCGAGACATGGAAAGATCGCAGCCGTTGTCTTGTGCAATACATGACAAAAGTCTTTTGGAAAGGCGGCCATCCGCAGTTGTTGGGACTTCTCTAGGCACTGATAGTTGCATGATCTTCATCTGGTAGAAGGTGCCGCAACCGTTCTTTGCCTTTTGTAATTTGACATCGACTAGCGTTCCTGTTGGAGATGGTCTCCTGCTGCTTTCCGTTGATAGAGCATCAACAGTCATTGTCGACTGGACTTCCTGCTTTGTGGAATGGCAGTTGTTCTGCACGAATTTGAGTTCCTTGGGCGGACCAGAACATTCCTTTTTGGCTTTCTTGCAATTGCCACATGTTGGCCATGCTTCGTCACATTTCTAGACTAGAATTAGTTACGCAATTGAGACTAGTTCCAGTTTCAGGTGATGAAATACAATCTTCCGCCTTTTGCAATACTGACACCGGTTGCTCAAGGGAATACCGGGCATCTTCTTAAACTGGTTAGATTAGAGTGGCAGAGGAATTTTGGTGTTTCAAGCACTCAAGAGATCAAGCAGGCCGATGGTCATCACTCTTGAAGCTAACAGGCAAAGGGTATCGACGACATGTCGTTGATATAGAGACTTTTCACCGTAGTCTCGACTAACGTGTATTACCTAACATTGGATGTCGGGCTTTGTTTCCTCTCGTGTTCCCGAAAGGCCCTGACATGATGCTAAGCTCAACTCGCGATATGCATCTTTACCTAAGCCACTTGCGGATTGACCCGACATGATATCGGATTGGCCATTTGCTGTGGGGAAACCGAAGAAGCTAACGGTCTTGCTGGGAAGAGACGTCACGCTGCAGTCTGGCAACTCCTTGACCTCGACCGCGGCAGCGCGCTATCTTTCCCAAAGAGGCAATTTTGAGGATGGGGTCTCAACCGCGCAGGATTGGAACCCCTGTCTGTCGCCTGCTTCTGCACAATAGACACAAACTACATTCGGCCCATTGAAAACGTCACGTCCAATAAGACAAGCATGATGGAAATTGGAAGATTACGCTTAAAGCCTTATCGGCACCCTGCCACCCAAATCGATGTCAAGTAGCCCGGCAGGGCTGAACAGGAGGGCGCATAAACTTGATTGACGTGCTTGCAACCCCTGGGCAGCCGTTTTAACCTTCTCGTATACTGCAGGATATGTCCGTAAAGAGCCATCTAACGGTCGCTGCTTGCTGTCCCATTGGGTCTAGAGCGATAGGCTGGCTGATTGCGCTTGGGGGCCATTGTTGAGTCTCGCCAACTTTGGCCGCGCGCTTCCGTTGGTCTCCAACCCGGATCCGAAGACCAAGTTGCCCCCCCCAAACCTCTCCATCTCTCCCCACGCACGCCACGTACAGGCGAATGCGAGGGACTTGTGTCTTCTTGGAAGTAGATCCTGCCCAGATCAGGCGTTAAGTTTAAATCCATTTCATGGCCCTACCACTGCACAGCCTGGCTGGGAGGATACCATTGCCCTGGGACTCGTTAGACCACCCCCAGCATTGGCCGTTAGGTGTCCTGGCAATGCCACGCTATGACGATCTTCAGGATGTGGCATGCCAGAAATAGCCATGGGTATTGCAGCTCTGGACTTGACTAGGCCGAGAACTTCTTCAGAAGTCACTTCTAGAAGTACTGCCGAGTCGACTCCGCACCTGTTTCGTATCTGGTCCATCTCCGGTCCGTATCGGCATGCGGAAGTCACGATAGCCAAACTCCGAATTTTATTGCTTTGATTTGATACGACTGATTAGTCCCGACCTCGTTCAACTGGGTCAAATCTGCACGGGCCAAATCCTGTTAGGGGGCGGTTTCGCAGTTGGGCCACTCATCAATGAGAACCTCTTTATCGTAATCACACCTTCTCATGTAAACGAGAAATACTTCAACCGACCCGGCATTAGGAACAAGGATTATGCAGGGCTTTGCCCTGACATTGCGATACTATTGATTGCATCCCGGATCCGATTGCAACTTTGCGGAAGCCAGCCCCCCTTTCGAAGGCGGTGTCGTGGCAATGACAACGAGATATACAATGGCTTTCTATCTAAATTACTTGTGGGGGAGACAAGGGTTGATCTGTAACCGGGGGTATCTTGAGCGGGAATTCAGGAACCATTAGCAGCCAAGGGCCGTGAAGTGGTGCGATAAACTCGAATATGGTAGGCTAGATGCAGTCTACTTGTTCGCTATTTTCTTTGAGTTCAGATGACGAATAACCATGCACAATTTGACGTCAAATTAACAAAGTTGATTTGAAGGTCAGATGAATCAGTCCGTGAGACAGGATACCCTCTTAATGGGCTCAACTCTCCTGACCCCTCTCCTATCATTTTCACTTAGTAATTTATGATTCATTCGTGATGGTTGAGCGATGCGGTCCGCTAGACTCAAAGTCCCACTTTTGAGCCCATGCAACGATTATAGGTATGATGTATTTAGCTTCAGTGAAGCCACCGTGAATCAAAATATGTCTTGAAGCGACATAGCGTAAATATCTGGATCCATTTCGCAAGACAGGCCCTTGAAGGAACCCATCATTGTAAGGCATCACATTTTCTAAAAAATGGCTTCGTGATTTTCAAAGTTCTGTTACCTCTTCTTGTCTTCCTGCAAAGAAACTTGTTCTCGGAGGCGAATGTTGAGCGCTTATGTGACTCAACGACAAAGTATGTCGAATCGGATTGGAGCCCAGAGTATTGGAGTTGATCAATATCTGCTCATACCATAATCAAGCCCTGCCGTCCTGGACATTGCCTTGGCTCAAACCATGAAGTCATTAGCCTGGACTAGAACGCTGCACCTTAACATGACTCTAAGTTTGGATAAGGCAATACACCGCTCACGATATGCCTGCCCAGCGCAGCCACCATTTTCTTTTCCGACTTCAGCACTGGTGATCCCATCACTTTCAGACAAGAGCTTGACAGAACTTAGCCGATCTTGCAGCGCGGCCAATTTAAGGCCCATTCTTCCCACTTTGGCGAAAGCGCCAAGCATACGATATTCTACCCATGGCTTATAAAAATATGATCTTATTGTTTTGAATTTGTAAGGCTGCCTCAGTGGCAAGCACGAAAACCGAGCTGGCATTGTATGAAATCAACCTGATCTTGTCAATCTGGGGCGAGGAGCGATATGGCGCTGCGGTGGACTTTTTTTTTTTTTTTTTTTTCTTTGGTTGGGAAATAACATATAAGCCTGTCTTGCGGATGAGGCTATTGTATTTATTTCTTGCTCTCTCTTCTGGGATAATTTTGTAGGAAAGCAGATGGAAAGAAGCAGAAAAGAGACTATCATTTAGAAGCTGAATAATTCATACGAGAATAGATAGTGGTCGTAAGAGGTTATATAGCAGCATTCGCTACACTGTCTTATGGTTTTGCACGAGTCCTTAGACCTTAGACGAAACAGATGTCACCTTTAAAATCATTAGTTCAGTGATTGTTGGACTTGTTAATTGATTAGTGGAATGGAAGTCGTCATTAGAACAACCCTAACCCTGGGTCTTGACTAATGATCCTTGGCTTGGAAGTCTGGGTGGCGCGAGATCAATTTTGCGACTATTTCGTTCCGGAGAGGCACCATTACCTGACTCGGGTCCATCCTATTTCGGACGCAAACTGCAGCGAGAATCGAGATACTCATGTAGAAGTATTGCAAGAGATGGAGGAGGCTCAGAGCCGCCATTCTGGGAGCTCCCTTGCGGTAATGGACCAGTCGCAAATGAGTGGCGGATGATGTGCTAATTGACCACAGTGCGATGCCTGCCGAATCAAGAAGCTGAAAGTAAGCATTGATGATCCGTCCCATTCGTAAGACCGTCCCTAACTTCTTCAGTGCTCTAAAGAACACCCCGTATGCAGTGCCTGCCTTCAAAATCGGAGGCTGTGTCATTACAGTGGCAGGACCATCCGATCTCCGCTCACCCGAGTGTAAGATGGTTGCCTCTCCTGCATGATGTTTGCTTACCGATTACTAGGTATCTATCAAGTGTGGAAAATCGACTTCAACGTCTAGAAAGGCTCGTAGCACAGCGTCTCCCTGATGTCAACATTGATGAGGCATTGGAGTCATTGGATTCCGATGAGTCAAACAGGGTTCACCAAGGAAGTCCCCTAGCGACGCACCCGCAATCGGTACAAGCATTGCCATCAACACCCAATGATGCAGGTGGCAGTTCAATATCAGAAGCTGTCCCTGAAGGCCCTGATGGCTTTGACTGGCAAGAGGATGTCAATGAGCTGGCTGATGGAATGGCAGCTCTTTCCGTCGAGCCTAAAGGGACTGGATACCTAGGTAAGTTTCTATCCACGGTGTCCCAGCCGATCTCAGATTCTCAACCAGTGACTAGGGTCTACGGCGGGAGTTTTCTTTCTTCGGTCTCTGTTGTTTTATCTAGGCAACCCGAAGTCAATTTTTGACCCTCGAGTGCCAACAGCCAGCTTGCGGAGGTTGGCTAGCCCAGACCTGCTGGAACCTTCATTCCGTTTTGCACAATCATGGCTCTCTCAGCAAGTTTTGAGCAAGCTCATGGATAGCTACTTCACAGTTTATCACCAGACATATCCATTCGTGCACGAGGCAACATTTCGGGCACAATTCCACGAGGTAATTCCTCGGCCTCAGAAGCGGTCTTGGCATATGCTTTTATACTCCATTCTCGCCATCGGTGCATGGTGTCTGGCAGAAGATCAGGGAGAGATCGAAGACGAGCTGTACCATCATGCTCTTTCATTTGGGGAGGATGAATCTATGTTTGAGAGTGCAAACCTCACATTTGTCCAAGCACTTGTTCTGTTAAGCAATCTGTCTCAGAAGCGCGACAAGCCGAACACGGGCTCGAATTTCCTGGGATTAGCAGTCAGAATGGCGCTCAGCCTTGGTTTGCATCGCGAGCTTCCAGATTGGGATATCAACTTGCTGCAACGAGAACAGAGACGACGAGTGTGGTGGGGTCTGTATATCTTTGACAGTGGCGCCTCAACGACCTTTGGGCGGCCGATCTTGCTCCCTGGATCTGAGTCTATGGACGTAAAGCCAGTTTTAAACATTGAGGACGATGTACGTCTAAACAGTCACTTTTTGGTGAAAGTGTTGCTAATACTCGGGGTGAACAGGCACTTACGCCTCGATCAACGACATTGCCCGACGAACTTTCCAGCCCTACCGTCTATTCTGGGTTGAAGACCCAGAGTGACTTCCATGTACACTCGAATTATATATCGAACAACCTTCTCTCGGCCTCAGGAATTGCTACAAAAGCCGCTTTGGCGCTGAACCAGTCTCTTGAATCCTGGTCGAAGACGATACCCGCATATTTTTCTTTGAGTCAACTACCCGAAACTGATGATCAATGGTATCTGTTTGCTAGATCTCGGCTATGGTGGCGCTACTGGAACCTGAAGATAATTCTCTTTCGACAACTTCTGCTTCGAAGAGCAGTTGAGAAAAGCCGCAATTCCGGTACCCTGTCATCAGATTCACTCGATCAGGAAGCTATTGACATCGCTATTGATGCGGCTCAGTCCACAATTCTGTCTATAAATGAATACCTGGGCACTGCGAATCTTACGAGACTCGCAAGTTGGTATTCAGTGTGAGCTATTACAGATCCCATTCAGCTGGAGACAAGCTAATTTTCTAAGTTTCTTCCTTTTCCACGCCTCGCTCGTCATCGTACTCGCCATTCTAGGCGACGCCGGTTCACATAATCTGTCTCGGTGGCGCTCGGACATCGAAACTGTGCGCCATATTCTCCGAACCATGCTTGCGAAACACCAATTGGCCGCGAGGTGCGCGGACATCCTTGATCATGTTCTTCCTCCAGACTCGACAGACCTTGGACTGTGGGGAGGTAATCAACTCGACTTAGATGGCATCGACTTCTCTATGTGGCCTGCAGATCCTGGTGATATGTTGGGCTCTTTTGTGTGGCCCGAGCCTGGAGAAGGACTTTGAATCAGGCTGTAGTAACGACTAGCAATCTGTCGCAGCTGCTGTTGGCATGTGCACATAATCACATATGTTAAAAAAGCACCTGAATAAGACGCCGTGATGTTTCAATCCCAGGCACTTTACTGTTTGACGAAAATATGTCTGTCAATTATAAATTCTAATGTCAGGCTCGATAAGATGAGACCTAATTAGATCGCCGTTTGGAATGTCGTTTTCTTCAGCGCGTCGAGCTGCCGCATCTCGGGAAGTCTCTATGCCTGCTAGCAGGTGACGCTCAATCAGGCGCTCTCTGGCCACTTCAGGGGGCACATCTACGAACCACCTGGAAAAACTGTCAGCAAAAGCCACGAACTAGAGGCAGTGAAATAGCTGACCTTTCGTCCACTAATTGTGCAATCTTACTCCAAGGTGCCTCATTCAAAAGGGTATAGTTTCCTTCGATGATGACAACTTGAGTTGTAGATGAGATCGTAATGCCATTCGGTACCGGGTCTTTGACAGCATGATCGAAAGTCGGGGCTCTGATTGCAAGGCCGGGCTCATCACGCCGGGTGACTGGGGTATTACGGAGAGCCATCACGAGGTTGAGAAATGCATCAGCGTCGAAGGTGAATGGCGCACCACGCCGACGCAAGGCCATTGCTGGATCTTTAAATGTTGCGAGAACGGCCTTCTCATAGTGATAGCCGTCCTGAGAAGAACTTAGCAACTGGAAATCCACGGTATATAGTTGTTATTGACATACCATCGGGACGACTTGAGCGTTTTCAATACCATAACTAGGCAATGCTTGAAGCACTCCAGCTGAGATCGTTGTCTTCCCAGAACCAGGGACACCAGCCAGTGCGATCAATATTCTCTTCTCTGAACCTTTCGCCCGAGTCAGGAGACTCTGTATGCGGAGGCACAGGATTGCTACAGCCTGCTCGAAATCAGTCGACGGCACCAACATGTTGTGTTCATCCTAATATCCTCTAGCAATCAGGCATTCCCCTGGGCCTCGAGGCCTCATAATGATCCTTTTTCTTTGATGTCGGCCTTCAGTCTGCCATAGGCATGTTAGTTGAATTACCTTGGCGGACTAGAGTGATCCGAGCCTTATTCCCGCTTCCAGAGCCCGAGTATTACACCGAATGGACGCCAAAGCGGGTCCCGACACCAGCCGATCGTCACCAGTTTTCGAATGCCGGATCCGCCTGTGGATCTCTTCTCGTGGCCAACTCCACCTTCCAAGGCCGACTCAGTAATCATGGACTTCTCCTCATTGGCCCGGACCGATGTCGTCCGGTGGAGGCTCCGCAAACCTCTCACATGAGTCTTCCTTTCCCCACGGGATCTCGAGACGGGGTCAAAAATCTGGGAATGGGGGTATAAACAGGGATACGCTGCAGGCATATATAATCGCGGCGCTCCCCCGGATTGTCAAGTACAGTCATCACTGATCAAACAGCGAATCACAACCCGTCTTAAAAGTTGAACATGGCAGCTGCAATCCCAGTTCAGGAACAAGATGGCATCGCCACGCCTAGAAAGGGCGTCTGGCGCATGGTGCGAGAAAACCCATATATCTTCGGACTATCAATGGTAATAAGTCGCCCTTCAGTCTTCTTGCACAAGCAATTAACAGCGTGCCTAGTTTGCCAGCTTGGGCGGCTTCCTCTTTGGCTACGACCAAGGAGTTGTATCCGGCGTTTTGACGATGGAATCTTTCGGTGCTCAGTTCCCTCGAATCTTCCTCGACAGCGGCTTTAAGGGATGGTTCGTATCGACGCTCCTGCTCCTCGCCTGGTTTGGATCTCTCATCAACGGTCCTGTGGCCGATCGATTTGGTCGTAAAGGATCTATGCTGGTCGCCGTTGTTGTATTCGTCATCGGCTCTTCCTTCCAGGCAGGCGCCAACTCGATAGCAATGCTCTTTGCTGGTAAGCAAATTATATATACGCCATAATCTCAGCTACTGATGTGAATAGGTCGAGCGGTGGCTGGTCTCTCAATTGGAATGCTTACAATGATTGTTCCGATGTACATGTCTGAGGTCTCGACTCCAGGGATTCGAGGTACACTAGTCGTCCTTCAACAGCTGAGCATTACCCTGGGCATCCTTCTTAGCTACTGGATCGAATATGGCACTCAGTACATCGGCGGAACCCGCTGTGCTCCCGATATCCCATACACTGGAGGTACCGAGTCAGATCGGACCTTCGACCCTAGACACGATGTTGGTCCCAATGGCTGCACGGGACAATCGGAGGCTTCATGGAGATTTCCATTCGCGCTGCAGATTCTTCCAGCATTGATTCTTGGCATTGGAATGATTTTTTATCCCGAGTCTCCGAGATACTTCTTGATGCGAAAGAATGAGGAAAAGGCACTTGCTTCGCTTGCCAAGTTGCGCCGCGTCCATCCCGACACTGAAGGACTACGAACAGAGTACCTTGCTATTAAAGCTGAAGTTCTATTCGACGAGGCAACAGCACGCGAGAAGTTCCCTAATAAGTTTGGCTTTTCACTCTGGCTCGCTCAATACACCGATCTTCTGCTGAGATGGCCCTCCTTCAAACGAGTATTCATTGGATCCAGTATAATGTTCTTTCAACAGTTTGTATGTATACCAGTGCTAAGTTTGAAGTGACTATACTAACATCGTCGGACAGATGGGTTGTAATGCAATGATCTACGTAAGTCTCCGAACGATCTCCATTGCTCGAAATCAAATACTCACATTGTTTTAGTATGCACCTACTATCTTCTCTCAGCTTGGTCTATCAGGCCAAACGTCTAGTCTTTTGGCCACTGGTGTCTACGGCATCGTCAACACCTTGTCGACTCTGCCTGCTCTATTCCTGATTGACAAGGTTGGCCGCCGGCCTTTGTTGATGTGTGGCGCAGTTGGCACATTCATCTCACTAGTCATCGTCGGTGGTATTATTGGCGGCTATGGCTCGTCGCTTTCAGAGAACAAGTCGGCTGGCTGGGCTGGAATTGCTTTCATCTACATCTATGACATCAACTTCTCTTACTCGTTCGCTCCGATCGGTTGGGTATTGCCCGCCGAGATTTTCAACCTTGGCAACCGCTCCAAGGCAATGGCCATCACAACCAGTGCAACCTGGATGTGTAACTTCATCATTGGCCTTGTTACTCCGGATATGCTTGATACGCTCAAGTGGGGTACATACATCTTCTTCGCCGCCTTCTGTCTGATTGCGTTTGTCTTCACATTTTTCTTCGTGCCCGAGACGCGGGGCAAGAGCTTGGAGGACATGGACGTTGTGTTCGGTGACACGGCAGCACATGAGGAGAAGGTCCGTTTGTACGAGATTGCGGCTTCTATGGGCTTAACGGAGGCGTTGCCCAATGAGAAAGTGGACCATGCTCGACACGAGACTGAACAAGTTGAACATACCGCCTAGACGGCATCGCATGCCTAAGATTGCAACTTGAATTTGGAGATAATTGTCTTCTTTAGCATCCATGAGATTTACTTGATAGTCATCAAAAGCGTTTCTTTGAGGCAATCTGTCTAATGAGTGCTAGAGTTTTGGGTGGCGATACGGTTGAGGGCTGCCTTCGGGTAGGGACAACCGAGCACCGAAATGGAAAAACTCCTATTTAAAACATAGATAGGGAGAAAAAGTATGATTGAATTGTCAGCAGTGATCATGAGGATTCCAAATTGTCTAAAATACTGATGTAAAAGTGATTGCTAGAAAGCAAAATGAGCTGTTTGAGATCCTCAAGAGTCATAGAGCTGTATGTCAGAAGCGAGTCAAGCTAAGTTAGGCTAGAGTTGTCAGAATGTCAGAATTTAGAGTGACTAAACTTGATGTGGCTAGTGTTGGTGGCCAGCCGGATCGCCCATACGCCCCGACAGATTTCGAATCCACTGGCCTCACTTCTCAGTCCTCAATCATAATCGAGGCAACATCCTGTAGTACGAGCTATCTACGGCTCCTTTTCCTGCATTGTTACGGCATCACTTATGGACACTGTTTGGAAGCCATATCTTAAGTCTTCGGACGACGATTGGACACTCCTGTCAGATCCCGCAGATCGGAAGCGAGTTCAAAACAGGCTCTCGCAGCGAGCTAGACGTGGGTTTCTTCATGACAGAACGAATTGCATGGGTCATTTCTAACTGTTATGCCGATGAAGGAATCAAGCTTGCTAATCAACAGTCTCGGGCGAAGCCGCATGCTCAAGCTCGTGAGCGTCTTACAGCAGCTGTCCCGGTCTCTAAGTCTCAAGATTTGTGTAGTGCACAGACAAGCTCAATGGTCCCCATCTCCAAGCCTCCCAGCGCGATCTCACAAAGCGAAGGGAGCCTGGACCCGGGACGAGACACCCACTTTATCATCATGCATGGCATGACAGCCTCCGCTGCTTTCATTCGCATTGGTAATCTGCTCGAACTTGCTTGTCTACAAGATAGCGGATTTAATATTTGCGCTCCCATCGAGAGATTGCCCCAAACAATCATACCGACCTTCAACCAGCAAACTATCCCACACCAGCCTTACGTTGATATGCTACCCTGGCCATCGGTACGCGATAGATTACTTCTCACACTAGCGGCTATCAACGAGCTGGAGTTTGTTATGGACATGTCATCAGATGGCTTGAAAATTTGGGGTACAACACCTTGGGACCCGATGGCTTGGGAGGTTGGCCCTGCATTTGCGAGGAAGTGGTGGTTCCTCTTGGATGACAATATCATGCACACGACGAATTTCTGGCGTCGGCAACGAGGAGAAGAGGACCTCATCCTGAGCCAGCCGTGATCGATGACCTTGAAGTCGAAGTTTTACGAGTCAGGTACCTGTTTGAGGCGCTAAGCCAAGATCGTGCCATCCTACCCACAAGCGCACTACATTCTGACAATCGTCATGTTTGTGACAACATCCCATTTTGTCAGAATGCATTGCCTGTTTGGAGATACGGCTACTGCGGTTTCCTAAATCACTATTGCCCTTTCGGCATTATAAATTGTCGTCCTGTCAGATTTGCATCAGCATTGTTCATGCAGGTCGCTTTCCTCATTCTCATTCCTCCGGAGAACTCATTCCAACCACAGCCAATTCATCGATTCGATTACCATGGGGGGAGTATTCACCCAACTATACCCGCCTAGTCCTACATTCACTGAGAAAGATGTTCCTTCACTCGTCGGCAAGGTGTTCATCGTGACTGGTGGGAATGCAGGTGTTGGGCTCGAGCTCGTCAAGATTCTCTATCTGAAAGGCGGCACAGTCTACATCGCAGGGCGATCTCAATCAAGAATAGCTGCCGAGATTGAAGCAATAAGTGCCATCCCCACCGATACACCTGGAAAGCTCAAGAGTCTCATTGTCGACCTAAATGATCTGTCGACGATTTCTCCATGTGTCTCCGGATTTCTGACCCAGGAATCGCGCCTCGACGTTTTATGGAACAATGCAGGAGTTGCGCAACCACCCACAGGGGAAGGGAATGAGGCCATCATGCGCATCAACTGCCTCGGCGCCTTTCTCTTGACCAAGATGTTGTTGCCCGTCCTTATCAAGACTGCGCGAAACTCAGCCAAAGGCAGCGTGCGCATAGTGTTTACGTCCTCTGGCATTATTGACATGAATTCTCCCCCAGGCGGCATCTCCTTCGCTGAGCTTGTCCCTGGCAATTATTCGAAAGATGCGTCTCGCAACTACAGCGCCTCCAAGGCCGGCAACTGGTTCTTAGCGTCCGAATTTGACAAGAGGGTCCGCGAGAACGGGATCGTGTCCGTGGTACAGAGCCCCGGGACTTTGCGAACCAAAGGCTGGGATAAAGCGTCGTGGTCAATAAGGGCTTCGATGGCTTTGTTTATGCATGATCCTAAGATGGGCGCATATACTGAACTGTGGGCTGGGCTCAGCCCTGACGTCAAGCTCGAGGATGGGGGGAGATTCGCTATTCCATGGGGCAGGTGGCATACTAGTCCGAAGAAAAGTATACTTCAGAGCTTGAAGACCAAAGAAGAGGGAGGCACAGGTCTTGCGGCGCAGTTTTGGGAGTGGTGTGAGGAGCGGACGCAGGATTATGCTGTGTGATGGAAACAACGATTCAGTTGAGTCTCGATGTTGGTCTCGATACGCTTTGGCAGACGTGACTGTATGAGATGATTGTTGATATGTGTGTCTTGGTCTAGCAATTGGTTCATTATCATTGAGTAGCATAGACTGGCTTCTCTATTGTGTCAGGTACTCGAAGTGGAACTGACTTGAGGGATTCCGAATTTAGATAATCTGAAATGGAAAGATGGTTTTAGCTATTTCGCTTTCTATCGATCACTACGTTTGACTCAATATGATTTGGTGAGATAGTCATAGAACACTTATCGAACCCGTGGAAATGGTCACCTTGCAGGTCAAAAGCGGAGGACTCGTTGCGGCCAGGGGTCAACCCTAACCCTTCGCATGAGGCAAGCTCCACAACAAGTAGTGGGGGCTGTCAATTAATCAGCACAGAAACATCAAGGGCTAGACTTCAACATGCACCTATTGATCCTGTCACATATCCAGACATCATAATGTACGAACTGTGAAGCGAAAATAACTTCTGAATTGACTGGGAGATGAAAGTAGTCGCCGATAGCTTACACATCCTGCTCCTCACGATTTTTGTCTGTGTCAACCCCTACTGATCTTAGCACAGCTGGTGTCTCGCATGGGTCTTTGGAGCAAAGTCTATAGTGTCAACTGCGAACGATAAACTGCAGTCATGGCATCAACTTCTTCAGAATCTCCAGTCGAGGAGATAAGGATCAACAGTATGCCTTCTAACTCGGTTCGTCTTGATGAGACGCGGCACCGGACATCGTCGAAGAACGTGAAACGACGGGCACAACAAGTCAACGAAGCTCAGCCTGTTGAGAAAAGAAAAAGAATTTTGCACGCATGCGACGAGTGCCGCCGAAAAAAGATTAAATGCGACGGCAAGAAGCCGTGTATTCACTGTGCCGTTTATAGCTATCGTAAGTCTAAAGTGTCTTCCGCCCAACAGTCTTTGAAGTGATCTGGATGCCGTTCTCAAGACTAAGTCGAAGTTCACAGACTGTACTTATGATGAATCTTCTAAACGCGGTCGTAATGCGTCTCCACGACAGATTGAAGCTGTTGAGGCACGCCTTCAAAAGGCCGAATCTCTCCTTAAAATTCTTGAACCCAATCTGGATCTAAACGAACTGTACCTCAACACCAACAGTCCCGAGGTGATTGCTAGCATACTTCGTCAAACGATCCCTAGACCGGAAAAGGTGGACCATATCACAGAATCAAGTGAATTATCTGACGAATCACTACTTGGGACTATGCTAGAAAATTTCGGCTCGCTTGATCTGGACGATAAAGGCCGGTGGAATTATAGTGGTCACTCGTCCACTATTATCTTTATGCAAAGGTTACAGAACCAATTCGGAAACTTGATCACGCCTACCGCAAAACCATTTAGATCTGGACTTGGTGCGCAATACCCGGAGTCGAGCGTCGGGCTGTCTCGGCCATTCGATGACTACTCTGGCGTCTCTCAAAGTTTCGTACTGCCGGTAGAAAGTACTGCCAGGGAGCTTTGTCGAGTGAGTTTTGATCAAGCATGCATCCCCAACCGCTTTATTCACGAGCCATCGTTTTGGGCGTCATTTGATCAAGTCTATGCGACAAGTTGGGATAGATATGGCGCAGGAGAACGCGTCTTCTTGCCGTTGTTATATGCTGCCATAGCAGTCGGCTGCCTGTTCTCGGACATCGACAAGTCTACAAATGTACTAAGAGGCGGTCAACTATTTGAGCAGGGGTAAGCCGTCCTGACTTTCTCCTAAGCTCTCAAGGGGCTAATGCCACATTGCCAAACCAGCTTCAGATACTACCGCGATTGTCGGGCGCTGCTTGATCTCACTGATTGTCGAGACCTAATTTCCCTTCAGGCGGCGATCTTCGTTATCATTTTCTTGCAATCATCTGCAGAACTGAGTACATGTTATCCCTACATCGGAATTGCCCAACGGGCTGCTCTCCATTTAGGTCTTCATCGCAAAATCCAGGGGAACTTCAACCCAATTGAACGCGAACTCCGCAAACGCATTTTCTGGACCATTCGAAGCATGGATGTCTATGTCAGCACCCGACTTGGCCTGCCCATATCAGTAAATAGCGACGATATTGACCAAGAGTATCCGTTGGAGATAGATGATGACTTCATTACCCGAGTTGGTATACTCCCCATGCCGTCTAGTCGCATATCAAGCATGGCTGGCGCAAACGCACACACTCGCTTGCTGGACATCATTATCCAAGTGGTCAAGGCTGTTTATCCAGTGAAACTCGCCAGGCACCAAGAGAAGCCTGATCGAACATACATGATCAGTTATTCCAAGATCCAAGAGATTGAGGCGAATCTAACA